GTTTTGTGGAACTGCAGATTTTAATTGATTTATAATCATGTCATCATATAGCATTCTTGTGTACTGCTGGCCTTCCCCATAGGTCATTCCAGAGAAGGGCTGAATGCTATAACAACATTTGTCAGATTGATTACATTGTCTCAACAACAACTGTGTTGTTGGAACACCCAATCAGACAGACATTTTTTCTTTTTTGTTTGCACAAATTTCAAATTGCATGCTCAAAATACAATATTTCTTCTGTGCATTGAACCTCTTATTTTTCTCTCACACTTTGTATACTCCAGGTCCAGGGAATCCGAGACCCGTTCACAGTGCGCGTCTATGAGACTCATGCCAGAATTGCGATGGAGAAGGTACAAAAGCTGTAGTTTTCGATTTAAAAAAAAAGCAAATGTCCTTGCTCTAGAGTTATATGTTACGGGTTTAATTTTGCAATGTGAGAAAGCGTGGTATTCTAGTAACAACATTGTTAGGTGTCTGGTAGTAATAAGTACACTTAGATTATCTAGACCAGCATGTTTGCAATCGTCTGAAATCCGACAACCGCTAGCCGGCCGATGCTATCGCTAGGCCCACTTGTATTAATCAATGTGTGAAGTGCGAGGCCTGGCCAACTGCCAGCCCCCCCCCCATTTTTCTCTCGTCGGCTTTGTCGGCACTTTTGATTTCGTGCCCGTTGGCGTTTCCGATGTCGGAAACCTGAGTAGAAATACAAATACGGAAAAGGATGCCGACCTAAATTATCTACTTTCAGTTTCGTGCTCGAGCGGCCATTTTGAATTTCGTTTGTTGACCGATTGTTCAGATCATGTGGATTTATTTAAGTCCGGCTCACTTCTAGATTTATAGATCATTATAGACCTCAATGGGGGATTCATTTCCAATTCTATCGTGTCAAACCCTATCACAGGTTGTGCTGTAATATTACTGTTAGTAAAAAGCATTTCATCAGGGGCGTAAATTAGATTCTATTTATTTAGAATCTAGACTCAGCTGAGTCCCTCTGTTCGGAATGGGATGCGGATTTCTCGTTCAAGGCCTATTCTTATTCACTTGTTCTACTAGATCTAGATTTATTTAGATTACTAGATCTATATGGAGGGTTCATATTCCGATTCTATTGTGTTATTGTATCAAACCCTATTATAGCAATATCATGCTCCTTGTTTGTTTTGGA